CCCCAGACAACCTCAATTTTTTTACTTTAGTTTTTCCTTTTCTAGAATGTTATGTAGTTGGAATCATATAGAATGTAGCTTTTCCAGTCTGGCTTCTTTTACTTAGTAATATGCCTTTAGGTCTCCCCATGTCTTTTCATAACTTGCTAGTCAGTCTCTTTTTAGTGCTGAATAATACTTGATTGTATGGACGAACCACTGTTTGCTTATCTGTTTGCCAACTGAAGGACATGTTGGTTGCTTTCAACTGTTGACAATTATAAATAAAGCTGTTATACACATTCATGTGCAGGCTTTTTTGTGGGCATAAATTTCCAATTCATTTGGGTTAATATTTAGGAACACAATTGCTGGATCATATGCTAAGTTTATGTTTAGCTTTGGAAGAAACTGCCAAACTGTCTTCCAGAGTGGCTGTACCATTTTATACTTCTACCAGATTTTTCTATTTCTTTTTAGATCTATTTTCTACCAACATATATATTAGCAATCTGATTCATTTTATTTTCATTAACAGTAATAGACAGATTTTCCTCTTTTAGTGTTTCAGAAAATGTTACCTGGATGTTTACTGTATTATTCCTATAATAAAAAAACTAGAATCTTCATTAGGCAGCCCATATCTATTAAGAACACCAAAAATTCACAAGAAAAATACTCATTATTTTTAGACTATAACCATCAGTTTCTCATAAAGAAATCTGCAGAAACTGGGACTCTGTTGAAGATGGGCTTATATACTCCTTTGCCCAATAAAGAAGACTAAAATACAAGTCTTCTTGACCTGGGCCATAGCACTGATTAGCACCTAATTTTTTTTTTTTAGGCTTTTTAAAAAAAATTTATCTTTATTGTTGAAAGTATTACAGATGTCCCCCTTTTCCCCTCCATTGCCCCCTTCCACCCCACCTCACCCCGCACTCCAGACCTTCGCCACACTATTGTCTGTGCCCATGGGTTATGCATGTATTCATATAAATTCTTTGGTTAATCTCTCCCCCCCACCCCCTCACTCCCGACTGACTACCCAAATTTAATGACAGTTTCACTTTATACCTCTCTCAACCTATATGAGTGTCCCCTCCAAACACCCCAACCCCCAACCCAGCTGCTGCCATTGATAAAACCTCTTGAGCTATCAACAGGCCACATTCTGCTTTTGGTCCCACAACATGATTGCTCTCCAGATCGTGTGCAGCCAGGACGGAGTGTCCCAAAATTGTGGTCCTTGGGTTTTTCCCTTATGGATGTTTAAATCCACTTACTGCAGCCATAGTAGGTAGTAACTTTTTCTAGCTCGCTGATGCTCTAGTAAATGCATTCCTTGTCTAGAAAGATTTCAGGTTTTCAAACACTAACAGCATTCTCATTTAACTCTAGTTAAATAAGGTTGCTGACTGCATTCTCAAGAACTAAAATCTATATTTCTCTCATGAAATGTAGATGTAGGAGGTTCTAAAGGCAAAGACCTTGCTCTGCTGGCTTCTATTTGGCAGTCAAATTAATAAGTTGTCAAGAAATTTTTCACATTTTCAAAATGTTCAAAACTCAGGCAGCAATTACAAACACACAAATGGAAGAGAGAAGGTGTGAGAAAACACAAAAATATGTGAGCATGTGAGTTAGGATCTACCGTGTATGTGTGCATACGAGTGTATTTCTCTTCAATCTAGCAAATTATCCGAAGACTCAGTTATTTTTAATGAATTATCTGTGTGATTTAGTCTCCTCACCCAAGAAGAAGACAAATTAGGGATATTAATAGATACTAGGCAGCTGCTCTTTTGGGCTGCTATACACCAAAGTTTCCCAATTGCAGCACTATTAAAATTTTGGGCCAAATACTTCTTTGTTTGTAGGTGGCTACCCTGTGCATTGTGGGATCCTCAGTAGCACCCTGGCCTCTTTCCATTAAATTCCCTTAGCACTGCTCTAGCTTTGACAACCAAAAATGTCTTCAGGTATTGCCAAATGTCACCTTGGGGAGGGTGGACAGGGCGGATCAGAACCAGTTGAGAACCACTGCTATACAGAATAAAATTCAGTGCTTCTCAGTGTGCTAAATACTATCACATGCACTCCTAGCAGTCTGAATACACTTAATACCACCGAAACACACTAAAATTCTTTTTAACTACTTCCCAAACCAAACTTTTTATGGTGGGAAGAAGGCTGGGAGAGAGTGTTAGGTAATCTCAGACTTCTTTTACTTCCAGACAACTATGGAAGGAAGGCGAGATCATTACCAGCACAACTGCAGACTAATGAAAGAGGCCAGTTCCCAAGGTGCTCCTCAAAGTATTACAAATGAAGAAAGGACAGTGTGTAGGGTATTGGGAGACATAAGCTCAATTCATTGTGTCAGAAAATGCCTGTCTTACTGGGATCTTCTAGAGGGCCAGGTTTTTCAGGGATGAATGCAAGGTGCATGCCCCAGTTGGGAATTTTGGAAATCATACCACTTTCTGCAATTCCAGGGAAGAAGGAAGAAAAGAGGATCCCCACATTAAAAAAAAAAAAAAAAAGGAGGATCCCCCAAAATACAAATTTCCTAAATTAAGCTAAAAATTCCCACATAAACATAACTTTTAAAATGGATTTCACAAATTTTAGCTTATATTCTATTATATGTGTTTACAAATGGGGTAAATCAGAACACGTGTTTTTCAGTAGGTTCCTATTAAGCTTACATAGACATGATCTTCCCTGAAATAAATATATCTGTATCTATAGTTTAATGTTGTCTCTGCTTCACTAAAATGAAGTATGCCATAAACATTTGCCATTTGTGCAGATTTAAATAATTTCAGATTTCTATAAAATTTGTATAAGGTTCACAACTTTCAAAATGCATACGGGTAAAGAAAACTTACATTTTTTGGCATTCTTTTCGTTCTCCCAACATGGGATCCCCCATTTCTCCAAGAATGGTAGCTTCCACTTCATATTGAACGACGAGTGCTTTTTCTGATGGATGTACATCAATATTTCCTCCTTTAACTTTCCTGCAATGTAAAATAAAAACAGGCATAGATGGATCAAAAACTCATAAAATGCTATGGTCTTTATCTAGGTTCTAGTTCCAAAAACATGTGGGCTGGATTAACATATGCATTTAAATTGGATTTACAGTTAAAATGGCAACATTCCCCAAAGTGATCTACAGATTCAATATAACCCATATCAAATTCTCAAAACCTTTTTTACAGAAATGGAAAAGAGATAATAAAATTCATGTGGAAACACAGGGGACTCTGAGTAGCCAAAACAATCTTGTAAAAAGAACAACAAAATTGTAAGACTCACATTTTCCAATTTCAAAATGTACTACAAGGCTACAGTAATCAAAACAGTGAAGTACTAGCAGAAAGATAGACACATAGATCAATGGAAGAGAACTCAGCCCAGGAATAAACACCTACATATATGGTCAACAAAGGTGGCAAGACCTTTTACTGGGGGAAAGAACAATCTTTTTAACAAATGTGCTGAGACACTGGATGTGTAAAATAATGAAATTGGGCCCTTACTGCACACCATATAATTAACTCAAAATGAATCAAATAATTTTAAAGGCTACACCTAAAAATAAATAAATAAATTAAAAAAATAAAGGCTAAACCTAAAAAACTCTTAAAAGAAAACATAGGGGCAAAACTTCTTGACTTTGGATTTGGGAATAGTTTCTTTTTTTTTTT